ATTTTTCTCTCTTTTAAATTCTCTCTCAACTTTTGTTCTTAATTCTTCCATTAATTCTAGATTACTTTTTGGTAACAATTTCTTCCCCTTTAATTTCAGTTATTTTATTTGCTCCCTTGATTATGCTTTTATTTATTTATTTGATTAGTTTAGTCAAGATGATTTGTGAGTAGTTTAATTTCTAGGGTTTATGGGGATCTAATAAATAATATGAAGGTGATACGTGTCGTTTACCGTATTAAATTAATAATTTATTTACCTAACTAGACCTTCAAAAATATTTACAAGTAGTAAAAAGGACAAGAAAGGGTCGATCCCACAGAGAGATTGTTAATCTATTATACTCGAGTAACTCGTAAAATACAATAACTATTTACACTATTTACATGTGATGGGGGGTTTAAATGATAATAATCAACTAGTACTATAATGAAAAAAATAGAATTTAAACTACTATATACAATCGACGACATACTTAACCAACTCCATTAATAACATTTACTCAAATTAAACTATTGGTGATCATAATAAACCGGACTCGCATAATTAATCAACTTAATTACCAGACTAACTGTAGAGACTTTAGTAACAAAGACTCCCTATCTTCCCTTATTTTAAACCAATTTTGAACTAAACCGAAATTGACTCTAAACCAATCTAATTAACACAAATATGGTCGCAACTTGCATGAATTAGTCTTGGCAGCATTAATATCTAGGAGACCTCATTAGTTCTAACTAATCCGATCACATAAATGTCAGATTATTTAGATTGAAATTGCTCTCTAACTTAAACCAAACCATAATGGCAGACTCGATTTAAAATTAGGGACTACTCTTCTATACAATTTAAATTAAGCTCAAGCATATAGATAGCAATACTTTACAATCCAACAATAGAAAGGTAACAATCATAGCTGAACTGCAAAATTAATAATTAATACCTAGCAAATTCAAATAGCCGTAAATTGAAATAAACCATGCAAATAGATTATAAAATCAATAATCAAATCATCACACCAATAATCCAATAAAAGTAATTAATCAATCTTAGCAAAAACAATCCAAAATAACAGTAAATGGAACAATTGAGTAAGAAGACTTATGAACTATACTCCCAAGAACAACCGTACAAGACCCGAATTCGACCCCGCGAATTGTCGTCGTTCTCGTTCAACCTTGGACTCGAGACTAAGCTTACCTCCAATGGCTACCTTCTCTGCTCCAATTGCCCAATTATGAGTCACTCGGACTACCTCACTCGTGTATTTTCTTGGTTAACAATATTTTATATTGATCTTCTTTGATTAAGGAAGATGATGGTAGTTTGGGGTCTTGTTCTGGTTAATATTCACGCCCCTTTTCCTCTTCTTCTTATCTTTTATTTCTTTTGCTTTGGCTCTTAATCACGTGCTTGTTCAGGAAACAATTTGCTTGTGGGCTTCAATAAGTGGCTTATGTTTACAAATCCACTTATTTCCTTCTTGATGTTGTGGTTGCAAGTGGCTTTTGATACAAGTGGGCTTTAATATCTTTACTTGTATAATCTTGGCCCACTTATTTCCCTCTTGTTTTCCTACCAAATACACACAACATAATTTTAAGTGCCAATTATTCATAAAAATAACTATAAAATAAAATACTAAATAAAATAGAATCTAAAATAATTAAAATCGATAATTTCATAAATTAACTAAAATAACGAGGCTATGAGACTAATATTATGGACTAAAAATACAATATATTATGCACTTATCAGAAGGGGTAATTTATTGTTGTTAATTATCAATGCTAGATTAATTTCCTATTGATTGATTTAATGCTCTGTGACTAGATTAGGCCTGTCTTTTATGCATGAGTTTGACAACATTGATTCGAGATTCGACAGATGAGAATTAATGTTTAGGTCTAGTTTCAATAGGCAGATTAATTTATAAATGGTTAAGTCGAGATACGAGAGATGAGATTTAATACTGGTAAATTAATTGTGTGATTGTAATACGTAGCGAAAGCCCTTTACAATCTGGTTAATTGATGCATTGATGATTGACTATTATTGATTATTGTTATTGCATGATAATTTCTTATTGAATTGTTTTAACGCTTTACAATTGCGGCTTGTAAAAGTATAGCAATATTAAATTGATGAATCGAGCAGATGTTAATTTGATATTAAAGGCTATTTTCAATAAGAACTTAGATCTAGTAAATTGCGAAAGCCTGTTAGATCTATGGAGACTAATAAATTGCGAGAGCTTGTTAATCATGTTATTTATGCAATGTTAATGATTGATTACTATGTTTTACCCTGTAGTATTATTTATTGGTGAACATATACCCTAGATCCTTTTATATATTGTTTTCTCCCTATTCTCAATCTTAGTAGTTTAGTTTCATATTTAAACAGAAATATTGGTTACTTCATAATCTAGATTATTTTAGTTAATTAGGAATAGAAAGACTTGTTTCCCTGTGGAGATCGACCCTACTTCCCTATCTACATTAGTTAGAGGATTTAGGTATTAATTTTGATTTGGGGATACGACTTTACCATGTCAGTCTGCAAACATAACCTGGGAACCTCTTGTTAACAAACCCGGGGGGTTGATGCATGTACACACTCATTCCAATCACCATGCAAAAAGGCATTTTTAACATCAAGTTGGTGAATTAACCATTTACGAGCCATAGCCAAACTCAACACAGTTCGAATAGTGGCCACTTTAACAACCAGACTAAAAGTTTCATCACATTCAACACCTTCGACCTGAGACCTTCCATCACAAACTAAACAAGCTTTGTATCTTTCAAGATCACCATTAGCATTTAATTTATGACAAAACAACCACATGCAATTAATAATGTTCACCCCCGTAGGCCTAGGAACCAAATCCCAAGTCTCTGTTTCAATTAAAGCACTATATTCATCACGCATTGCCGCATTCCAATTTGGGTCAGAAAGAGCTTGTCTGTGATTTTTAGGTAAAGGAGAACGGGTTATATAGGTGCTGGGTAGGGATACAATTAGTCTGAATTTGGGGTTGGGTTTGTAAATCCCATGTTTGGATCTGGTTTGCATTTGTGGTGAGTTGGGAATGGGCCTGGTTGGGGAGATTAGCGTGATTCCTCTTAATAGAGGTGGAGTGTATGTAGTTGGGCTAGAAGATTGGCTCGGGGAATGGGTAATGTGTGTTATGGGCTGAGCAGGTTGCGGTTGGGCCTGCTGTGTGCCAAAAAGCGTTGGGACTACGATTGGGGAGGCTTTTCAGCTTCTGGTGTGGCCGCTGAATTCCCATCTGGCGCTAGGCTTGGTTAGTGTGAAGTGGGTCGCAGGTTGGATGTAAGGGAGTTGACATGGCCACAGGTCTCTTGTGGAGTGGGCTGCTCATGAGTAATAGGTGGTAAATGTAACATATTTTGGCGTTGAAACAAAGGGGAGGGATCATTGTTGGCCTAAAAAGCATAATGAGGATCGAAAGTCAGAGATATTTTGATATGGAAGTGTGCTTTCGTCAAAAGTGACATGACGCAAGATTATGATTTTATTGGTAGAGAGATCTAAACACTTATATCCCCTATGTTCGGATGGACAGCCTAGGAAAGCACATGGTGTGGATTGGGGAGCTAATTTGTGTTTGGCGGGGGCCGAAAGATTAGGAAAGCTGAGACACCCAAAGACCCAACGATGACTATATGAAGGAATGACACCAAAAATAGCTTGGGCCGGAGTAATATGATTGAGATTTTTAGTGGGCAAGATGTTCAATGAATAAGTAACCGTTTCAAGGGAATGACTCCAAAATGAAAGTGGGAGAGAAGCATGAATTAAAAGAGTACGTTTAATATTATTAATCGTACGAATCATGCATTCAACTTTGCAGTTGCGATGATGTATGTGGGCAAGAGAATCGAAAAACCAATCCATTTTTGACACAAAAAAGTTTGAATGGGTTATTATAAAATTCAAAACCATGATCACTTTGAAATGACTTAATAGGACGTTCAAATTGAGTAAGAACATATTGTCAAAAATTAAGAAAGGTTTGATAGGCTTGAGACTTGTAAGCAAGGGGTATAGTCAACACATAATGAGTATAATCATCGAATAAAGCTAAATAGTATTTATGACCTTTATCACTACGAATGGGAGAAATCTAAAAATCAGCATGAATTATGTCAAACGCAGAAAAGGTAGTACCATTAGAATTATAAAAAGGCAAACGAACATGTTTTTCCAATTGACAACCGACGTAGATATTAGAGTCTTGCTCCTTATTACAATCAATCAAATTATTACTCCTAATAAAGCTTAAAATGGGTGCTCCGGGATGTCCTAAGCGGTTGTTCCATGTAGATGAAGACAGGGCTGTGAGAGATGTAGCTAGACAAGTTGGTGGTGTGGTTGTGACTGGATAGAGATCCCCTGTACTATTTCATCTGGTTAGAATTCTCCCCGTTCGAAGATCCTTCACAAAAAAACCACTATGATCATATTCTATAGACACAGAATTATCATTGGTAAATTTACGAACATATATTAAATTTTTTATAATTTGGGGAGCTAAATAAACATCACGAAGGGCAAGGGATTTATTTGCAATGTTAGAATGACCATAACCCGTTATTGGAATGCGATGATCATTTCCCACTTGAATATAATTATTAGTGCTCAAATTAAAAAGGGGTAAGAGATTATCAGCATTATTAGTCATGTGGGAAGAAGCACCGGAGTCCATATACCATGATGGATTATAATTTTGAAGGCCCATTGTAGCAAAAGCGTTCTCGAGATCAGCAGGTGTCATCGCCGAGTTGTAATCTGGGCCCAAATTGTAGTATGACTGTGATTGCGCTTGCTGGTATTGATAAGCAGATGGGCTTGACCTTGCAAAATATGCGAGCAGGAGACCTACTGCCTTGTGGAGAAGGATATGAGGGACGTTGACTGACCCATTGCTGCTGAGGATATGGACACGGGGCTCGACCCCATTGAGGTGCCCCTTATATGGCTTGAGGTTGCTGTGGCGGTGCTGCCCATTGATGCTGCGAGTTAACCCATTGTGGTGCTCCTTGCTGTTGGGGTTGCTGTTGTTGATGTCCTCTACCACGGTCTTTTCCACGCCCGCGACCACGACTAGCAAGGTCACCACCATGACCTACTGGCTGGGTCTGCTGATGTTGAGTGGAAGGTGCGGTAGCAAGTTGAGCAGGGTTGCCGGTTTGTGCCACAAACGATGAAGGTACAACACTAGTGTATTTGGCACGACGAGATTCCTCAAGTAAGAGCCGGGATCGGCCTGTTTCAAACGAAGGTAAGGGCTCTATTTGTTGAATCATAGCAGCCACGGTATCGAAGTCGATGTTTGCGAGCCTTGAAACCAAACGAATAACTAACCAACTTTTGTTCTGATACGGGTTGATCAATATTCGCACGTTGATCCTTTAAGATTTTCAATTGTCGACAATATGAAGATATATCTATAAAATTAGAGAGATGCAGGGCATTAAATTAATTTTCAAGATAAACGGCTCTAGTTGATTTATTATCTTGAAATGTTGGCCTTGAGTTTGTCCCAAACCTGTTGAGCTGTAGCTCCTTTGCACAGAATTGTTTCAAGCAAATCCTTATAAATTGTACCATAAATCCAGTTCTTGAGAATGGAATCAAGACGTACTTCCACATATCATCTGATAAGTCCGTCGGCTTAGGCGTTTTAGGGTAAATATGATCAAGCACATTATAGGCGTGTGTATGATATTCAAACAGTTTGACCCAATTTGAATATGGTACGTTTTCTCGGTCAAGAATAAGAGGAATGACATTCTTGATAATATTAACACCTAGAGCAGGATGGAAGTCAGAAGAAAAAGATTCTCCATCTTTATTCATGATGGCAACAAGAAATTAGGTACACACCAAATTAATCGTAAAAGGGGAATAAAGAACAAAGAACTAATTGGTAAACCAATTAATTGTAGTGAGTACGTGGACTGAATCAAATTGTTGCCATGAAAAAATAAATAAAAAGAATTTGGAAACCAAAATGGAAAAATAAAGAAACTGAGCGAAAAAGAACTCAAAAGAGAAAATAAAAAATTGCGGGAGCTAGATCGAAAAACCTAAAGCTGTGATACCATGTTAGATTTTATGAAATCCTCATATCGGAGTGTATTCCATTGATTCGTATATATAGGGTTACAACAATGAAACCTAATCACATTAGGAAATCTCAAAAGATATTTACAGAATATTCACAAACTATATCCTTCGATACAAAATATTTTTTAGAATATTTATCATATTCTAACAAAAGTCATACATGTTTATCGAGAAGGCAACCGCACGGCAAATTGGTTGGCCAACCGTGGAGTCGTCCCGAATTCTCAATTAGTAGTTTTTAATAATGTTTCGACGGAGCTTGGTCGTATTTTAGAAGAGGATATTAGGGGCGTGGCTATGCCTCGTCTAATTCCTCCCCAGCTAGTTAAGTAGTTGGTTTTTTTTTATTGCTTTATTTTTCTTGTTTTCCTTTTCTTTTCTCCGAGTCTTTATATCCTCATTTGGGTATAATAATAATAATAATAGTAATAATAATAATAATTGTAACAATAATAATAGTAATAATAATAATAATAATAATAATAACAATAATAATGGTAATAATAATAATAATATAATAATAATAGTAATAATAATAATAATAATATAATAATAATAATAATATAATAATAATAATAATAGTAATAATAATAACAATAAAAATAACAATAACAATAAAAATAACAATAATAACAATAATAAAATAATAATAATAAAATAATAATAATAAAATAATAATAATAATAATAATAATAGTAATAATAATAATAGTAATAATAATAATAATAACATTGGGTTGATTGGAGGAAACGACGGGGCTCTACGACCTGCAGATGTACTGCTTTATTTCTGGGATAGAGGCCTTGATGTATGTATTGATTTGACGGGGTCTTCACCTTTGACACAATCGGGGTTGTCTGACTTCGTTCCTGGTCGTGTTGTGTCGGCGGCGGCTCAGCGGAAGTGGAACAAGTATGGGGCGCGTTGCAGGGCTATTGGCTATGGTTTTCTTCCTTTCTCCTTTTCTTCGTTGGGGGAATTAGAGAAGGATGCTATTGCGTTGCTGAAGCGGGTTCAGGCGTTCGCTAAAACTCAGGATATTGGTGCTCGTGCAGCTGCTTACATCTTCAGCAGGATCGGATTCGCTATAGCTAGAGGGGTGGGGGCCCAGATTGTATCTCGGCTCCCTACCAATTTCTTGTAAATTGATTGACTCTGTAAGTTTTGTTTTTTGATAATAATAATAATAATAATAATAATAATAACAACAACAACAACAACATTAATAGTAAAAATAATAATACTAATAATAATACTAACTGTAACAGTAATAATAACAACAATAATAATAATAACAGTAATAGTAAGAACATTAATAGTAAGAATAAGAACAGTAATAATAAGAACAGTAATAATAAAACAGTAATAATAATAACAGTAATAGTAAGAACAATAATAGTAAGAATAAGAACAGTAATAATAAGAACAATAATAATAATAAGAGCAGTAATAATAAGAACAGTAATAATAAGAACGGTAGTAATAATAATAATAAGAACAATAATAATAATAACAGTAATAATAAGAACAGTAATAATAATAAGAACAGTAATAATAAGAACAGTAATAATAATAATAAGAACAACAATTAATAATAAGAACAGTAATAATAATAATAAGAACAGTAATAATAATAATAATAATAATAAGAACAATAATAACAACAACAACAACAACAACAACAACAAAAACAACAACAACAACAACAACAATAATAATAATAATAATAATAATACCATACCTTGGTGGTAGGTATGGTTATGTCAACGTTGAGAAAACGGAAGTTTTCTGGCCCACGGAGGACCTCGTAGCCATCTCGTAGGTGTCTTTCCTCCGGATATTGCTCGTCTTGTGCATGGTGTTAAGCTGCTTGGTGGTCCTGTCAGTGCGGACTCCACTTTCTGTGGTGAGCTTGTTTCGAAGAGAGTATCGAAGACTACTGTGCTAATGGATACTGTTGCTAAGCTCGATGATCCCCAATGCGAGTTGTTACTTCTTCGTGCGTGTACTGGGGTTTCCAAACTCTACTTTGCTATGCGCACTTGTCCCCCTCGTCTTTTTGAAGCGACCCAAATTTATTTTGATGTGGCTCTTCGGGCATCTTTAGAGCGTATTGTGATTGCTTCGGGGCCTAGTTTTGGTGATTGGCAATGGCGACTTGCCACCTTGCCCTTTGCTTATGGTGGATTGGGTGTTTATTCAACAGGTGATGTTCGACACTATGCATTTTTTGCGTTGCGTTTGCAGTCTTCTGGTCTTCAGGCTACCCTTCTTCGTGATTCTGGTATTGTAGGTTCAGGATCAGCCTTAAATGGTGCTCAATGTCTTTTTAATGGAACCGTGGAGACTGACCTTATGCGTAAACCTAGTGAGATTGCTGCCCCCAAACTCATGAAGAAATTGGCAGGTATATATTTTACGAAGGTTACTGCTTCTGCAACATCCACTTTCTCCTTATCTCCGCGTCAGGTTTCCTTATGGAAGTCCCAGCAGAGGGATCAAACTTCGGCCTGGTTGCGAGTCATCCCAATATCGGGGTTGGGTTAGACTATGAACGGTAAGACTTACCGTTCTGTTCTTTGTTATAGATTGGGCGTTTCATTGTTCTCCGTTTCGGCACCGTGTTCTGCTTGCTCAAGGGTTTTCGACGGGGATATTTTTGGGGATCATGTAGTGTCCTGTGCTAGAATGGTGGGTATTAAACATCGGCACAATGTTGTTCGTGATACCCTTGTTGATATTTGTTTTCGCTCTGGGATTTCTGCGAGAAAGGAGGTTAACGTTAGGTTAACGAGAGGAAATGACGGGGCTCTTCGACCAACAGATGTGTTGCTTTATTCCTGGGACAAAGGCCTTGTTGTATGTGTTGATTTGACTGGGTCTTCTCCATTGACACAATCAGGATTGTCTGACTTCGTTCCTGGTCGTGTTGTGTCGGTTGCGGCTCAGTGGAAGCGGGACAAGTATGGCACGCGTTGCAGGGCTATTGGCTATGGGTTTCTTCCTTTCTCCTTTTCTTCTTTGGGGGAATTAGAGAAGGATGCTGTTGCGTTGCTGAAGAGGATTCAGGCGTTCGCAAAGACTCAAAATATTGGTGCTCGTGCAGCTGCTCACATCTTCAACAGGATTGGATTCGCTATAGCTAGAGGAGTGGGGGCCCAAATTGTATCTTGGCTCCCCATTAATTTCTTGTAATTTGATTGACTTTGTAGGTTTTGTTTTTAATAATAATAATAATAATAATAATAATAATAAGGAAATTTTAGAAAATAACACCACAAAAAAACCCAAATTTTGATTATAACACCACAACAAAAAAAAACTTTTGTAATAACACCACAAAAAACCTCAAAATTTTGATTTCACCACCTATTGCTAACGCCATCCAAAAAACCGTTAATGGACCCCATATTATACATGTGGCAGTAATCTATTGGATTAAAAAATGAAAAAAAAACCCAAAAACTCTAACCCAGCCACCACCTTCACCACCGACGCCGATTCCCCCTAGCCCCACCACCGTCACCCTAACACCCACTGCCGGCTCCCCCATTCGACCACTCTCGATTGACGAAATCTGCCAAGCCGACCACCTGAATAACGACGCACCACATTGTACCCAACCCCAGCCTAGCCACCAAGCCCACCACTGGCGTTCACCCCCATCCTCCTTAACCAACCCTGAAAAGCCTATCTTCCACCAGACGCACCGATTAACCCAACCCGCAACTCCCCTTACCCTAGCTACCACCGAAAACGACCACTTCCAGTTGAAATCGGCCGGTTTAGGGCGGAAGTGGTCAAATTCGACCCTAAAGTAGCCGATCTCGACCGCTAGTAGCTATTCCGGTGGCTGGGAAGTGCGAATTCGACTTGGTGTTGTTGGAGCTATGAGGCAAGGCGAAGCTGCGGTGGTTTTCGGGGAGGGGGAGGAGAGGGTTTCGCCGGTTTAGGTGAGGCAGGGGTGCCGATGGCTTGTGTTAGGATGTTGGTGGTGGGGGACGTACAGGTGCTGCCGGTGGTGCAGTGGGCTGGGTTAGGTTGTTTAGGGTTTTTTCTTTTTAATTTTTGATTTTTCTTTTTTTTTTTATTATAATTTTTATAAAACCAATAAGTTATTGACACGTGTCTGTTATGGGCTCCACTAATGGATTTCATCTACAAATCCGTTATGTGGTGGTGAAATCAAATTTTAGGATTTTTATGTGGTGTTATAATGAAAAAAAAAATATTGTGGTGTTATAATCAAAATTTGGGTTTTTTTTGAGGTGTTATTTTCTAAAATTTCCTAATAATAATAATAATAATAGTAGTAGTAGTAGTAGTAATAATAATAATAATAATAATAATAATAATAATAATAATAATAATAATATTATTATTATTATTATTATCTTCTTAACCTTCATTATTATTATTACAATGGTTGGCCAATTTATTTAATAGCTTGGCATGCCACATCATCTTCTTAACCTTCAACAATTCAAGCTATTTGTTGCTCCAATGGGTAAGCAAGTTGTAAATTAATTCCAATGGGTAAGCAAGTTGTAAATTAATTTATTTTTAAATTAATAAAATTTTTTATCTAATAAATATTTTCCAAGCTAATTAGCTCTACAAAGCTAATTTGCTTGCCAAAGCTAATCAACAAGATGTGCAACAATGGTGTAGCTACTAGTTTAAGATTTTTAATATTTGCAAGCTAGTCTATTTTCCCAACCATTGGAGTTGCTCTTATAAGCCGGTTAGGACTAAGGAAAAATGATAATGTGGTTTTTGGGTCGAGTTGTCATGTATTTTGAGTCAGTGTTAGAGCAACTCCAATGGTAAGCTAATTGTGAAATTAGCTTGCCATACCACCTAGGATTGCAAAGCTAATCTACCTTGTAGCTAATTAATCCCACAATGGTTAAGCTAATTTTTAATAATTTTTTTTTATTTAATTTTTTTTAATTCCCACAATTTGCTAAGCTAATTAGCTTAGCTAAGCGAATAGCTTTGCCCAGCTAATTTGGTAATGCAATTCCAATGGTTAAGCTAATTATTTATTAGTTTCATAAATTGCAAGCTAGTCCTAATTTTACACCGTTGGAGTTGCTCTTACCAAGTCTCATATTTCAATTTAATTTTGCAAAAGTATTAGCACAGCTGCCTGGGACAGGAATCGAACCTGCGATCTTCTGGCCATAAATTACTTCTACACTTACACTCTTAATTTCTTTCGAGTTTCCACCATTGTTGTCAAATCCTTCTCCCTCCCTCTCTCCCCTCCATTGAAGCGTACTCCTAATTCTCCATTGAAGCGTCTTCTGAGATTTCCCTCTTCAATTGAAGCAGCTTTTCAGGTAAAATGTTTATTTATTTAATAATCAAATGTCATTTATCAATCTAGGGTTTATTGTAAATTAAATATTCAGTAGAGTCAAATTAAGGTTCTTTTCAGCTGGATTATTGAAGTATAGGTTATAATTACTCAAGTTATGAATTTAATTTGATTTATGGACTCTAATTTGATAATTGAGCCAAATTTGGTTGCTAAAGTGTAGCAGAACTCTTCAATTTTAATACAGAACTATGAAAATGGTTTAGGTTGGAATATATGTGGCAGCAGATACTTGTAAGAGGAACTATGCTATGCCGTATTTCAGGTAAAATCTTGAGAATTCATTTTTTTGTTTAAGCACAATAGATCTTATATGTTCTGGATTTATGTTGTGCATTTATTCTATCTTTTCGGAAGTTATGTAGTGTTATTACTGTTATATAAAGTTGCATACATAATTTGGTGCTTGGACTTGTTAAGGCTACTTGTAATCGATTTCTTAATTGTGTAGTACAGCCCTCCCTTTTCGTTGCTCCCACTTTTTTGGTGTTCTGCAAGTATTTTTAGACACAAAATTAATGTTTCCTCCGCTCCATATTACTTGCAACAATACGAGTTTCATGCTTGCTATTGCACAATTTAAACTACTACGTATTAAAATAGATCCCACAAGACTATATTTTATCTTTTGCATAGATCACACAAGGGAGAGTATAAATAGTGTTAGAAACCTAATGTTGCCACTAAAGTTGAGCAGAGGAAGTATATTAAATGATGAGATATCTATTTAGAATTTGAATTTGTCTCCAATTTTTTACTAGGCTTGTGTTCCACAACTATTAATATGCTACTTTCTACACAGGAATTATCCATCATTTGGATTATAGGCATGGTCTATCCTACGTCATTCATAGTAGATTTACATCCTTGCATGGTAAACATCCCGAGCAGGAGCTCAGGGGTCTTACATCTCCTGGTCGGGATAGCAACGGAAGCTCTAGATATATCCAGCTATCAAACCAAAGTGTTGAAGATGTGTGCAAAATCTTAGAGAGTGGACCTTGGGGCCCTGGCCTAGAGACTGCTTTACGTGGGATCAGTGAAAAGCCTCAGCAAGAACTAATCATTGCAGTCTTAAAGAAGATGAAGGATGCCAATACAGCCATAAAATATTTTCGATGGACTGAGAGGAGCACTAACCAAGTGCATTGCCCTGAGGCATATAATATTCTCCTCATGATCATGGCTAGAAGTAGACAGTTCCATAATCTTGAAGAGATATTAGAGGAGATGAGTCATGCTGGTTTTGGGCCATCAAACAGCACATGTGTTGAGTTTGTTTTATGCTGTGTAAAGTCGCATATGTTGGATCAGGCTTTCAATTTTATACAAATTATGAGGAAATTCAAGTTCCGACCTGCGTTCTCAGCTTATACAACTCTTATAGGCTCTCTTTCTGTGGTTAACAAGCCTGACCTTCTGCTTACTCTCTTTCAACAGATGCAAGAGCTAGGTTATGAGGTAAATGTACATCTGTTTACCACTGTCATTCGCGCTTTTGCCCGGGAAGGGAATATTGATGTTGTTCTCTCTCTGCTAGATGAGATGAGAAACAATGCTTTTGTGGCAGACATTGTACTTTATAATGTATGCATTGACTGTTTTGGGAAGCTTGGCAAGGTGGATATGGCCTGGAAATTCTTTCACGAAATGAAAGCACAGGGTTTTATGCCCGATGATGTGACATATACTAGCATGATCGGGGTTCTATGCAAAGCTAATAGGCTTGATGAAGCAGAAGAGCTTTTTAATCAGATGGAAGATGGACGTGAAGTACCATGCGCATATGCATATAGCACCATGATAATGGGTTACGGCTCAGCTGGGATGTTTGAAAAAGCCTATCTGCTACTGGAGAGGCAAAAGGAAAAAGGGTCAATTCCGAATGTGATTGCTTACAACTGCATTCTTACTTGCCTCGGTAGGAAAGGGAAAGTAGAAGAGGCTTTAAAATTATTTGATGACATGAAGAAAGATGCAGCACCCAACCTTCTAACATATAATATTCTTATAGACATGCTATGCAGTTTAGGGAATGTTGATGCCGCTCTTAAATTGCAAGATGCCATGAGAGAAGCTGGATTATTTCCTCATGTTATGACTGTAAACATTATGATCAATCGTTTGTGTAAAGCCCGTAAACTTGAAGAAGCTTGTTCCATATTTGAAGGGCTAGACCATAAATTCTGCACCCCAGATGCTGTAACATTTTGTACCTTAATTGATGGTTTAGGTCGCAATGGTAGAGTTGATGATGCATACAGATTGTACGAAAAGATGTTGGATTCTGGCCATGTTCCTAACGCTGTTGTATTTACATCTCTTATCCAGAATTTCTTTAATGTTGGCAGGCCAGCAGATGGTCACAAGGTTTACAAGGAACTGCTTCGTAATGCCTGTTCTCCTGACCTGAGACTCCTTAATACTTACATGGATTGTGTTTTTAAAGCTGGTGACGTTGATAAAGGCAGAGCATTGTTTGAGGAAATTAAGACTAGAGGGTTTGCTCCAGATGTACAGAGCTATTCAATATTGATAAATGGTCTTGTCAAGGCAGGATTTGCACGTGAAACCTATCAAATATATTACTCGATGAAGGAACAAGGCTATGTATTGGATACTCGTGCATATAATATTATTATTGATGGATTTTGCAAGTCAGGTAAGGTGAACAAGGCCTACCAATTACTGGAGGAAATGAGAGCAAAAGGTGCTGTGCCCACTGTAGTCACTTATGGTGCTGTTATTGACGGGCTTGCAAAGATTGACAGGCTTGATGAAGCATATATGCTCTTTGAGGAAGCCAAATCAATTGGAATCATTCTGAATGTGACTGTTTATAGTAGCCTTATTGATGGCTTTGGGAAAGTTGGTAGAATTGATGAAGCATATCTGATTATGGAAGAAATGATGCAAAATGGCCTGACACCTAATGTGTACACATGGAATTCTCTGCTTAATGCGCTGACCAAGGCAGAGGAGATCAATGAAGCCCTTGTCTGCTTTCAGTCAATGAAAGATTTGAAATGCACTCCAAATGCTTTCACTTATAGCATTCTCATTGATGGTCTTTGTCGTGTTCGCAAATTCAACAAGGCCTTTGTATTTCTTCAAGATATGAAGAAACTAGGACTAGAGCCCAATGCAGTGACCTACACTACCATGATTTGTGGACTTGCAAAGGCTGGCAATGTAACAGAAGCTTATGCACTTTTCAAGAAGTTTAAAGAAAAGGGAGGTAGACTTGATTCAGCCTGTTATAATGCTACAATAGAAGGGCTAAGCATTGCAAATAGGGCTTTAGATGCCTACATGCTTTTTGAAGAGGCCCGTCAGAAAGGATTTGATATTCATTCCAAAACTTGTGTTGTTCTTTTAGATGCATTGCACCGTGCTGATTGTCTTGAACAGGCAGGATTTGTTGGTGCCATCCTCAAGGAAACTGCAAAAGCAAAGCATGCTTCAAGATCTTTTTGATTAAATTACACTGTAGAAATTTTTGAGAATGAGGATTAGCCACTGTCAGTATAGGTTGATGAAATACGAGTCTTTGATCTGGCGAATAGGCTCTATCAATGAGATACCTCATCCTTCTCTGTACATCAGCTTTACTCTCCTCTCTATAGTGCGGCTCGTCTTGTTTCTAAACTTCCATCATCCAGTCGCTAACATGCATGCATCCTTAAGGCTAGTTCTCTTCTGTCTTTCCTACTTCCTTATATTTGCTGATGTTTTAAGTCAGAATTTGTTGTTACTTTGTTTTGTGCCCTAATTTATTTTATGTGTTGCAGCTCCACTGGCAATATGCCCTAATTTTCTTTGTGATTGAAGTGCTGCAAAATTAAAAAGTTCCTCTTTTTCCAGCGTGTGCACTTCTCTTACATTGTAATGTGCGGTAACTTATCAAATTGCTAAGCTACTGTGATTTCCGCATAATTTCAGTACTTTATGTGAAATTAGTATACTCCGTTGGAGATAAATTTTTGGTTCATATTGTCTACCCCATCCTCTTGGGATGAAGGCTTTAGCTTTGTTGAATTGTTTTGAATATTAATTCATTAATTCATTATTTATTACGTTTGGTTATTATGTAGTATAGTTAGCTTGTTTTCTCCTTGCTTCATCATGCTGTGCGCTTTTGTCTTGATAATATATGTAAGGTAGGGAAAGATATATATGTATGTATTTGTTGAAATCTGGGCTATTTTGGTTGTTGATGTTGAGTTGATATTTCTTTTGAATGAATGTATGTCTTAAAGTGGATGGGGACTTTCAATTATTAGTCAGTTAGGGAGATACAGAGGAATTGGGCTTGATTAATTTTTTACTTTTATTTTTTTAAAATAATAATTTATGTTTACTTTGTGAGGATGCCATGCCTTCACATTTTGCTCTTCTCTCAGTTTCAATTACATATTTTCTCTGACAATTAGTTTGTTATTATGATGTTGTTGTGCTTGTTGAATGCATGTTAGTGGCTTTTAACGTGTCTTATTTCTAGGATTATTTGAATTCTAAACTTTAAACTCTATTTATACTGCTATTCTGTTGATATCTTAGTATGAGGGCATGCAATTTTCTTTTGCTGCAAATTTTTCCTGTTTGATCTATATGAACCACCTATGTACTAGTTTTGTCTTGATAGAATAAGTTTGTTTTTATTCGTTACTTCTTAACCCTGTTAATTCTGTCCTGTATGATCTGTCTCTATGTACTACTGTACTACTGAAAGAATTAACTGGATTGGGTTACTTGGAAGTTGGAAGAAATTTGTATAAATTTTCCCTCAAAATTATATGCTTAGATCTCTGAAGTTATTTTCCTTTTAAAACTCTATCCATATCAGTAGAGGCAAAAGAGTGGGTTTTCCTCAACTAAGACAAGGTTTAATAATCTGTAACTTCTTCCAAACCGTGGCAATGTTACTATGTTGCGCTGCTGCTTCTATAACATCTGTATAATGGTGAACGCTCTTGCATAATTGTTTTGAACTTTTAGTCAGTGGTGTTTATGAAGGGGGCACCTACCTGAACTTGTAATGCAAATATTGTCTTAACGTCCTTTTTTCTTTTTTCCTGAACCGGGCTAAGCTCCCTCGCATAGCTTTATTTGTATTTGCATGATTAGTTATGTCTGCTGTCTGTTTATGGGCAATATGGCATCTTAGTAAAGCATACCAGCATACACCAATATTTTTGAGGATGATGATTATTTGAAAATATTTCCGGGCATGAAATCGATGTCATTTTTTTAAAAATCAGCATTTTTATGCTTTATTGATTATGGTTCCTTAGGGCCTGTTTTGTTCAGCTTAATTTCAGTATAGTTCAGTTCAAATCAGTTCAGCTCACCTCAGCTCAAATCAGTTCAGTTCAGCTCAGCCCCAATCAGTTCAGTTCAGTTGTTTTCAGTAAATTGGAATAGGCCCTTAGTTTGTTAGATCGCATTTGTTCTAAATAAGTGTTAGAAGGTCTAGCAGGATCAATCATTTTGGGTTTTGTGATCACATTCATTCCAGATGGGAATAGCTTATTGCTGCTTTCTTAGTCTAGTAGACGTTTCCTTGGGTTTTGTTACTTTAGTTGCGACATTAGTTGCTTACGTGGGGTACACTTATGTGTTTTTCATGTTCATGTGACGAACATATTATGTCGGGTTAGATAATTGTACCATTTTTACCCTGCAAATCTAGAGTTACATTTGGTGGGCTTTAGTTTTCCTTATGGAACATTTTTTTTTCCCTTTATCTGGTTTTTTTTTTTTTTTTTTTTTTTTTTTTTTTTTTTTTTTTTTTACTGTTGAATCTGATTAGATGTGATGTGAGCTTAGTTACTTGTATAATTTTACTTTCTAATTTTTTTCTTTTGCTGGTGGTGGAAATGTACACATACTGCTTACCACGACTATAAGGGAGGATTCTAAGTTAGCTCTGTATTATATTAAGGGGTTGGGTAGTGGTCTGGTAGGCGCGTATAATCCACATACAGAATGGACGAAGGAGAGAGAGAGGGGGGGGGGGGGTAAGGGTATAGGACAGCCCATAAATCCAGTGGAACTAGACCCTCATCTAAGGAGAAATCAGGGTAGAAGACAGCTCATTGCCCCACTTTGCAGGGTAACTGTATAGTTCAATCTGTATCAAGTATTTGTGCTGAAGTTTTGAAACTGCTTAATGTTTGTGCATGCTTTGTGATTATACTCTCTTATCAGTGCTATTCAGCTGAAATCAAAATAGATTAACTCTAAAAAAATAATAATAAATAAGCTCCTGTATCTTATGCAAGTTGATCAGAAATATCTAATGCCATTGAAATAAATTTATATGAATTATATCTGGAAGTTGTTACAATGATCAGTCAACACCAACTAGATGCAAGGGAATGCTAAGAATTGAATAAAGTGATGCTAGATTTTCCCTTTGTCAATATTTGTGTCAGTATTATGTAATGGTAGATGAACCTGATCAATGTGATATGCTGGTGTTCTTTTGCATTTAGCTAATGTTTCTTCCATCACAGGGTCTGCATTCATTTACTTGGCAAGTGGACAGACTTCAAAGCAAGCATCTTCTGTGACAACAATTTTGTAAGACAGCCAGGTTAGCTTTAATTAATATAATTTCTTAAGTGTTGCTCGATAAGATTCATGCCCGGGATCAGGTTTATGTGAATTGTGAAATAAATCAAATAATGTTGAGCTAAATAAGATTACTTTTTTTTTGTTAAATTTTTTTTATACAGTGTTTAGTCTCGTCTGTTCATTTCTCTTGCCCTGTTACAATGTTAGACATTACATTATGGAAATTTGTTTGTTGAGATGAAAGCGTTGACTATTATTTTGATGTTATTAATGTTTTGCAAAATCCTGGTTTAATCTGACTTGCTACACAATAGCATGCATGTTTTTGCTATGTGATCAGTATTTAAACAATCTAAAGCAGCAGAATTTTTGTCGTTTCCTATCATCTGTTTGTTGTAGCATCCTGTTTCCAAGCATCTGCTAAAATCTAAAAAAAAGATAAGACTAGCAGTGCTCTGGAATTTCCAGGAAATCTCATGTTGCTGAAGCTGTGACTTGTTTGGCGACATGATCTGAGCACTGCTAAATTATCTTTGAACAGCAGCTGCAGGCTATAACGGGTTTAATTAACGTAGGTTTTCATGGCCAGATGTCCTCGATGTTTATGGTACGTACGTTCTGCCAGCTTAGCTAACAAGCCATGATGACAGGCATCTACTGCTTGAACCTTTTTTTAGTGGAAGATTCCATGAGCAAGGATATTTATTGTTTTATTTTTTATTTATTTAAAATAACATCAATTGCATAAGTATTCATTGTTCTCTCCAGAACTAACTTAGGCATGCAGTATTTCAATCAGCTGATGATGTATGAAATAATACTATTAGCTAACCATACAAGATTAAAGTTTGGTCCTTTGAAGTATGTTTTTGGTGGAAGATGAAAGGTTGGGAATGTGGTATTTCGATCAGTTGGTGATGTATGTACGAAATACTCTTGGTTAACCAAATTTTGCCTTCAACTCTCCAAAATTTTGCCAGTTGGTAAAGAAGGTACTGTACTACTGTAGTATCTTTGTTTGTTTCTTCTGTGGATTTAAAATATAGTCTTTTCTTTTAAATAGTAAAATCCACTTTACCTGGAATCGTTGCAGTAACCATATGAAAACAGTGTCCTCCCTCCAATAAAAATATAAAAACCATATAGTATGTGTACAAACTCCTAAGTACTCAATAGTCCCTTTGTCCAAGTAGCGGAGCCAGGAATTTCCAACTGGGGGGACATCACTTAATTTGACAAAAATGGTGTAACGCACAAATATTTAAATTGTAAAAGTTTTACTTTTTCCGTCCCTTGATTAGATGTCTACTTCTCTTTATTATGTGAATAATAAGTGAAGAAATTAATAGGCATTTAATTAAGGGATGGAGGGAGTATTACTTTAAATAATAATAATAATAAAAAAAAAACGAATAAAAAGCCTATTTACCATTTATTGGCTTATGGGTCATTGCAGAATTTGAACATCAAATAATTGAATGCACTTTTCTTAATAAAATGCAAATCTACAATTACAATTAGGGAAGGAATACTATCTTATAAATTAAAAAATTATGATAGTAAAATGCAAATATATGGTAATTATTAAGAAAAAAAGGAAGGGTAATAGATTAAATTTTTAAAAAAAATATAGTAAAACGCTTGAATGAAACTATCTGGCGTCTACAACTTTTGCATACAAGTCTTTAACCGCTACACCATGTACATTTGAAGACATCTTTACAACATTTTTTTTATTTAAACTAACTTCTGTTTTTTTTTTTAAAAGTGGGGGATAGTTGTCCCCTATGTCCCTCTCTAGCTCCGCTCCTGTCTTCGGCTCACAGTAAATTTGGTGATGCAAATTTTTGATTGTAAACTAGTGTTTATCTCATAGTCTATACCTTAAATGTTCTCTATTTTGAATTATAGTTTTCTTGTATTATAGTATTTTTAAATACTTTATTATTTATTTGAATAAAATAATTTGTAAAAAAAAAAAAAAAAAAAATAAATCTCATGCCATACATTAACTATATTTAAGAAGATTAAATAAACAAAAGTGTTACATAGCAAAGATTCTCACCTGCCTAACTATATAGTATGTATATTTTTAATTAATTAA